TTTATCCATTCTTCAGTTGATGGGCACTTTGGCTGTCTTCATCTTTTTGCTATTGTAAATAGTGCAGCTATGAACATTGGTGTGCATATATCTTCCCATGTTGTGGCTCATTTTTCTTGTGGGTAAATACCAAGTAGAGGAATTGCTGGATCTGGTATTTCTATTTTCAACCTTCTGAGGAAGCACCATATTGCTTTCAAGAGAGGTTGGACCATTTTGCAGTCCCACCAGCAATACTTGCATGTGATATTAATGATATTGTTTGATAATTTCCACACTTCATTAGGTCACCACTCTTCAGAATGGGTACAAATATTAATCTCTCCCAATCAGTTGACCAAGTAGCTTCCTTCCAAATTTCTTGATATTGACAAGTGACTGCTTCTAGCACTGCAACAGTTTGTTGAAACATTTCAATTTGCATTCCATCAGTTCTTAGAGTCTTGTATTTTGTCAATGCCTTCACTGCAGCTTGGACTTTTTCCTTCAATACCATAGGTTCTTGAAATGGTTGAACATTAACCAGTTCTCTTTGGTACAGTAACTCTGTATTCCTTCCACCTTCTTCTTTTTTTTTCCTTCCATCTTCTTTTGTTGCTTCCTGCATTATTCAATATTTTCCCCATAGAATCCACTTCAATACTGAGTCTGTTCTTTTGGTGTTCTAACTCCAGGTCTTTGCACAATTCCTTGTAATGCTTTACTTAGTCTTCTCAAGCTGCCCTTAGACATTTTATGTTCAGCTCTTTTACTCATTGTATACAGTAGCTTTAGCTTCTTTCTGTTCAAGAGCAATTTTCAGAGTCCCTTCTAACATCCACTTTAGTCTTTTCTTTTCTTCCTGTCTTTTTAATGACCTTTTGCTTTCTTCATGAATGATGTTCTTGATGTCATCCCACAACTCTTCTGGTCTTCAGTCATTAATGTCTAATGCATCAAATTTGTTACCGATATGGTCTCTAAATTAGAGGGGACTATGTTCAAGGCCATACTTTGGTTATTGTGGACTTGTTTTAATTTTGTTCCACTTCAGTCTGAACTTGCATATGAAACAATTAACAGTCTGTTCTACAGTCAACCCCTGGCCTGGTTGTAACTGATGATATTGAGCTTCTTCATGAAATTGATGTATTCAATTTGATTCTTGTTACATATGCTGAGGTCCATATGTACAGTCCCTATTTCTGTTGTTGAAGAAAGATACTTGAATAAATCATTGGTCTTGCAAAATTCTATCATGCAATCTCCAGCATTGTTTCCATCACTAAAGCCATAGTTTCCAACTATTGGCCCTTTTCCTTTGTTTCCACTTTTGTATTCCAATCACCAGTCATTATAAATATATCTTGATTACATGTTTGATCAATTGCAGACTGAAGAAGTTCATAGATTTCATGAATTTCTTCATCATTAGTTTTAGTGGTTGGTGTGCTTATTCAGCAATAGTGGTATTATCTGTCTTCTTTGTAGGTATATGGATATTATCCTATCACAGACAGCATTGTACTTCACAATAGATCTTGAAATTTTCTTTTTGACGACGAGTGTGATGCCATTCCTCTTCAATTAGTTATTTCTGGCATAGTAAAGCAGATGATAATCTGATTTAAAATGGCCAATACCAATCCATTTCAAGAATCCTGGTGTGGCTGAATAAACACTGGACTGTTAGCCACAAGGTCAGCATTCAAATCTACCAGCTGCTCCTCAGAAACTCTACACAGGGTCACTATGAGTCATTGGCACTTAACAACAACAATGGCAACATCAATGCCATTGATCTTCATGCATACCATTTTGTTTTGACAACTTCCTAGATTCATACTTCATAAATTCCATATTACATTTATTAATGGATGTTTACAACTGTTTCTTCTCATTTTGAATTATGTCCCATCAGCAAATGAAGGTACCAAAAGGATTTCTCCAGCCACATCATTAAAGTGACCTCTACTTTTTGAGGTGGCAACTCTTCCCCAGTCATATTTTGAGTGCCTTAAAACATGAAGGGCTCGTCTTCTGGCACAGTATCAGACAATGTTCTGCTGTTATAACCAAAAAGAAGTGGTCTGCCTTTCCTTCTCTTAGTCTGGATGCTCCCCTAAAACTTGTCCACCATGGGTGACCCTGCTGGTAGCTTCTGGCATCACAGCAATGCACAAGCCACCACAGTAGGATAAACTGACAGACCAGTGGTAGGTCCCATCACACTAAGTCTTCTCAATTCTACCTGACAGGGTATGGTAGTTTTATGTGTCAACTTGGCTAACCTATGGTTCTTGATTGGCCATACATTAGTCTGGTTTCTGTTATACAGTAGTTACGTGTACTGTTACAGAGTAGTTCGTCACATGTGGTTAAATCAATTAACCTTGAGTAAAGTAAATGATATTCCTTAATTTAATGACACTACAGCTTGTCACCACTTGACTTACAGATTTTAGACTTGCTAATCCCTCCCACTTTGCACATGCTATCAAGGGGGATCAGTCTCAGTATAAAGACATCATGCTTGGTAAAATGGAGGGTCATTGAAAAACAGAAAGCCCCCCAACAAGACAGATTGACACAGCAACAAAATCAATGGACTCAAATGTAACAACAACTGGGAGGATGATACAGGGCAGGACCAGCCAGTGTTTCTTTCTGTTGTGCATAGGGTTGCTATGAGTTAGAACTGGCTCAGTGGCACTTAGCAACAACAATCCTTCTGCAGTCTAGTAAAACAATCCCTTGAAATAAATCAGCCAATCTCTCTCTCCTGGAGTCCTGGTGTGCTGTTGTAGGATAAGCACTAAACTGAAAGGTCAGTTTGAACTGCAAGATCAGAGATTCAAACCCACCAACTAGCTGTTCCTCAGAAACCCTATGCAGGATCTCCATGAGTCAGAACCAACTTAACAGCACTGAACAACAACCACAACATGTATTACTGGTTCGATTTCTCCAGAGAACTCTGACCAGGGTGAAGTGAATAGGCACTTGCCTCAAGTGCCAAATTTAAAGGGTGCCAACATTTTCATAACCAAGATAAATTAGATCCTTGCCTTAACCTTATCCCAATTCTTTATCCACATTACAATCAGAGAAACCATTGAAACTAAAAATCCAACAATCATTCCTCTGTTTAAAACTAACATCTACCCACTGTATACATGATAAAGTTCTTTAGCAGCATAAAAGGATTTCAGTATCTGGTTCCTGCCAATCTCTCCTTATCGTTCTCATTTTCTGTTCCAGTCCACCTTAATTCCTGCAAGGACTTCAAACATGTCATGCTGTCTCTCACCTCCTTTTCATACATGTTGTTGGTGCTGTCAAGTGCCATAGAATCAGTTCCTGTTCATAGCAACCCTGTATAACATTTCCAAAGAGCGTTTGGTAGGTATGAAATGCTGAGCTTGTGGTTAACAGTCCAGTGCTTATCCTACAATGCCACACCAGCATGCTTTCTTAAGTAGTTTGTTCTATTTCTGTATCATTTCCTGTTTCTCCTTTGTCTGATTAATTGCGGTTCATTCCTTAGATCTCACCTTAGATGCTATTTCTTTAGCCAAATCTTTATTGACCTTCAAAGTCTTTGGTTCCCTACTATGTATATTCCCATAGCTCTCTCTCTGCTTCTTTAACTGTGACACTGATCATACTATATTGCAATTCTTTATCTGTTTCCCTTTCCCTACTAAAATATATAAGATCTTTAAGAGCATGAATTTAGTAGTTAATTCACTGTTGTGGCCCCATTACTTAGCACAGTACTTGGCACATAATAAGATCATTTAAGAAATGGTTTTGACTAAATGAGTAAGTTACAGTGAAAGGCCAAAGAATTGAGTTTGTCAGTTTCCAGAAAGCTGAAGTAACTGAATATTAATAATAGGTAGCACGTGTTAAACAGTTTGTAATTTATAAAGTATTTTCACTTTTTGCATTTAAAATTTTTTTCACAATTACTTTGATGTGTAAATGGTATTATGCAATGATTGAAATAAGGAAATGTACTAATCAGTGAAAATTCAGAAAACATTAGACTTGGAAGGGAAAAAGAAGCAGAGCATATAATATACTGCATTCCTGGAATAACATATAAATGTCCCCAAAGTTGAGAACTCTGCTTCTATCAGGCCCCTGGTAGAAAATAATCAGATTGAACTTTGAGTCACTGGGTTAGTTTTCTTCTCTTGAACTCATTATTTGTTTAGGCTAGATATCTCCCAGTGAGGCTGGACATCTTCCAGAGGAGTTTAGAGTGAGAAAGCGTTTCCAGGTCAACACTTGCAAACAATCATTTTTCTAATTTCCTCCTAGATTGAGTAAACTAATCAACACAGCCATTCCTGTTTTCTCCAAGGGCTGAGAGCTCAACGCTAAAGAGAATGTCACTTGAATTAAGTTACATCAGTATCCCTGTCCAACTGCTCTTATTCTCAAGAGCAAACTCTTTGAGTAGTAGAGAACAGCGCAGAAATACTTAAATCTAACAGACGTTTAAGAGACCCAGATAACTAAAAATGCCTTCCAGTTACCAGATGACTAAGTATTATATTAAGCAAGCATGTTTTGGAGTCCTCATGTGGCACAGAGAAGATCATCTTCCTTGAGTCCTTACATATTGTGATGTAGACCAGTGAATCTCAACCTGACTACATTTCAAATCACCTGGAATATGTAAAATATTATAGATGTTCATGTCTTACCCAGCAGAAAACTTGATTTAGTAGGTCCTAATTTAATTGGTCCAAAGATCAGTCAGTTTCAAAGGTCCTTTAACCTTGTGTCCTTAAATACATTTTTTTAGGTTTCTAGTTTCAGTTATCTTATCTCTAAAAGATAGGGAAAACATTTATAATAACACCTAAGCCCATGGCACTTAATAACAACAACAAAAATCATTGTGAAGACTGAATGAAATAGTTTGTGTAAAGTGCCTGCACAATGTTTTCCTCGTTGAAACAGATATGAATTCATATTCAATTTTCTTTTCATCATTACACACTTACCAAGAGCAATCACCATAAGCAATCCTGGGATTCCAAAAGCCAGTGCATAACAGTCTTCCCCAAAACATTGGATATCACCTAAAAAAACAAACAAGCAAAAAGAGTAACTCTGAATCTTGAGTCTTCGGTGTCCTATTCTTGAAGTCATAGACAGAGCCATCCTCCTTCTTCCATGACCTAAGCCCATAATTCTTCTTTTGGACCAGACAAATCAAGACTAAAAGAAAATCAGAAGGAACTCTTGAACAACTTCTTGGCTGAACAGAGTAAAGTTTTATACAGGGTCCCTCAGAAGTGATCCTAACCTCTCAACATGGGTGTGATAAATGTAGAAATCAAGCTGCCTGCATTGATGGAGAGATAGAAGATTGAGAAGTATTTGGTCCGCTCCTTTGCCTGAAAAAAAAAAAAAAAGAGAGAGAGCAATCATCAGTGCAATAGGTCTTCTATTTCCACCTCCATCCCATGATCAGACTCAGCTAGAGACACATACAAAAAGACAGACTCAAGCGACTGGGATCTTAAAAGCTCATGAGCAGTCATCTAAGGTGCAACTATTGGTTTCTCCCTGTCCAGAGAAAAAAAGAGGGATGAAATTGAAGATACTTGGAAACAATTAATCCAATGGACTAAGGAACTACTTAAACATCAGTCTCTTGGATTCTAGGGCCAGGAGAACTAGATGGTTCCTGACTACCACTACCAACTGCTCTGAAAGGGATCACAGTAGAAGGCCCTGGATAGAGTGGGAATAAATGTGGAATAAAACTCAAGATCATAAAAAACAAAACAAAAAGCAGACTTACTAGTCAGGTAGAGACTAGTGGAAGATTGAGACTATGGCCCTTGGCCACCCTTCAGGTCTGGAAATGATTTCACCCAATGACTCAATTTTCAGTCAAGCAATAAATAGGTATATAGAGGGACAACACCACTAGAGAGGTACACACACTATAGAATGGCCAAGCAGTCAAGATCGAAAGGGCAGAATTTACCTAAGGATAAAATTCATAAGACTTAGGAAAGCAGGAGAAATGGAAAAGAACTCAGGGAGGAAGTGTAATAAGTGGTGTTAGATTGAAGATATTGCAATCATTGAGATGAAATGAAATGTGTAATTTGTTGAATGTAAAACTGATGATCTGTCCAGTAAATCTTCAACAGAAAGTAAAAAAAAAAAAAAAAAGAAAGAAAAAGACTCCAATATACCTCTATCATAGCTGAACGTCATATCAGATACTTAAAAGCATGTCTGGCTGACTTGTGGGTTAATGAGCCAGACTGCAAAGCCATTTGAACTGCAAGGTTGGCGGTTCAAGCTCACCAGCTTCTCCTCTGAAACCTTATACATGGTCGCTATGGGTCAGAATCGACTCACCAATACTTAACAACAACTGGCTGATTCCAGACATACATTTATTCGTCTCTCAAGTATCAGTTGTTATTGTCATCAATTGCCGTGGAGTCAATTCAGGCTCATAGTGACCACCCTGTACAGGGTTTCCGAGGCTTTAAATCTTCACAGGAGCATCTTTAACCTTCTTTTATACTTTTACATGGGCAAAATTGATCATTTTGTTTTCTATATAATTGCTATGCCCTGTATATATTTAGCAAGGAGGGCTGGTGTCACTGTAGATTAAACACTGAACTGCTAACAGCGAGATTGGCAGTTCAAACCCACCAGCTGCTCCTCGGGAGAAATATGAGGCTTTCTGCTCCCATGAAGATTTACAGCCTTAGAAACCCTATGCAGGGTTGCTATGAGTTGGGACTGACTCTATGACAGTGGAGTTTCTTGGGAGACGTATTTATTATAATATCCCTTTCTTTGCATTAAGTATCTGTTTCAGTAGGTTGAGATTTTCTTTAGTGAAGAAATGTATCTTAGTCACTTCTGTAATCCTCAGTACAGAATCTAATAGAGATTACAGAATCTACATATATTTATTGATTTAATTTGTTAAATAAATGATCACTTGAGTTAAACAATAAACTTTGTGGAATGTGTGGTAGTTATAGAACCAGAACCTAGGACAGTGGGGGAAACTATTGATCAAGCAGAAGAATTCACCTAGTGTTTAAAAGAAGTCTGTCAGAGAGTTCTAAAATCAATGGGTTTAGAAGTCACTAGGTCAGACATGAAGGTAGAGTTTGCCTGTTTAATATAAATAACTTTGTAGAGCAGTTAGCAAATGAAGCAGCTTTCAAATAAAGTTGCTGACATTTCATTATGTTTTGCTGTGTTTCATTCCAGTACATTAGCACAATCATTCCTTCCGTTTTTCTATGTTAAGCATGTTTTCCTTCCTCTTCTGGCCACCATTTAAACCTTATTCCACTCATCTAATTTGTAAGGCTCATTATGCATAGAATCTCATTTACTAAAGGTTTGTTATCTCTCCAAAGACAGTAAATAATCATTATCTGTGGACTACTGAACAGATGAAGACTATCAAGTGATAACTTATATGGTACAAAAAGTAGGCATAACACAGGAAGACAGGATAGACAGAACACAAAGCAGACACTGTGTGTCAGAGAGAGGCAGAGACAGAAACAGAAAAAGACAGAGAAATTATATTTATATGTATGAGCCCTGGTGTGGTGCTACAGGATAAATACTGGATTGCTAACTGCAAGGTTGGCAGTTCAAACTTACCAGTCAGTCTCAGAAACCTGATACAGGGTTTTTATGAATAGTCAAGGGAAAATGACCAAATGCATGAAGGCAGACAAGAAAGGAAAATGAAAGTAACATATAGAAAGCAGAAAATTTGGGTTTGTCTAGAATACAATACACTACTATCACATGCAAGTAAACTTTTGCTAAAGATATTAAAAAACAACCACAATAGTACATTGACAGGGAACCGCCTGAGGATCAAACCTAATTCAGACTATGATGTGGAATGAGGGAGATCATTGATGACATCAGATGGATCTTTGCTGAAAGCAGAGAATACCAGAAAGATGTTTACCTGTATTTTATTAATTACTCAAAGGCTTTCAATTGTATGGATTAAGACAAGCTATGGACAACATTGAGGAGAATGAGTATTCCAGAACACTCAATTGTGCTCACAAGGAACCTCTACATAGACCAAGAGCAATTGTTCCAAAAGAACACGGAAACACTGAATGGAATAAAATGAGGAGAGGTGTGCACCAGGATTGTATTATTTATTTATTCAATCAATCACTATGCTGAGCAAATAATTCGAAAAGCTGAATTATATGAAGAACGTGGCATCAGGATTGGAAGAAGACTTATTATCTGTCTTGACGTATAATGTTGTTTGTGGTAGGATGAGATACATATGTCTACAAGGAAGACCAGTTAATACCACTATCATTCAAATGACACACTAACCACCAAAGTCAACAATTATGAAACTGAAGACTTCTACCAACCTCTTCAGTCTGAGGTTGAATTGTATTTTCTCACCATACTTATTCAATCTGTATACTGAGCAAATCATTTCAGAAGCTGGATTTTTATGAAGAAGAACATGGCATCAGGATTGGAGGAAGACTCATTAACAACCTGCGATATGCAGATGATACAAACTTGCTTGCTGAAAGTCAAGAGGACTTAAAATACTTATTGATGAAGATCAAAGACTACTGACTTTGGTATAGGTTGCACCTCAATGAAAAGAAAACAAAACTCCTCACAACTGGACCAATTAAGCAAATCTGCTGCACAACATCAAGATAAATGGAGAAAAGGTTGAAGTCAAAGACTTCATTTTGCTTGCATCAACCATCAACACTCAGGGAAGCAGCAGTCAAGAAATCAAACGATGTATTGCATTAGGCAAATCTGCTGCACAAGACCTCTTTAAAGTATTGAAGAGCAAAGATGTCAGTTTGAAGACTAAGTTGTGTGCCATGGTATTTTCAATAGCCTGTAAAAGTTGGGCAATGAATAAGGAAGACCTTAGAAGTATTGATGCATTTGAGTTATGGTGTTGGGGGAAAAATATTAAAAGTACCACAGACTGCCAAAAGAACAAACAAATTTATGTTGGAAGAAGTACAGCCAGAATGCTCCTTAGATGTCAGGATGGTTAAATTTTGTTCCTGGAGAAGAATATCATGCTTGGTAAAGTGGAGAGACAAGGAAAAAAGAGGAAGATGCCCAATGAGATGTATGGGGTACAGTGGTAACAGTAATAGACTCAAGTATAACAATGATTGTGATGCTGGCACAGTACCAGGCAGTGTTTCTTACTATTGTGCTTAAGGTTGTTATGAGTTAGAACTTATTCAATGACACCTAACAACCATCCTGGTCACTGGTCACTCTTCTAAGAAAATGTTTCAGTTTTTCTATTAGTGGCCAATGCTCAGCATTGAATGTAACTCTTCAGATATGCATACTTCAATCACAACAAATGGCTAACTGTTTTTTAAAGGTCTGTGCTGTTGTTGCTGTTGTTAATTGCTGTCGAGCCTCATAGCAACCTTGTATAGGGTTTCTGAGAAGCAGCTGGTGGGTTTGAACTGTTGACCTTGTGGTTTGCAGCCTAGTACTGATCCTACAGCGCGATACTAGGAGCCTTGAAAATGTAGAAGTCATAGATTCTTACATGTTTTTCTTCAAACTGGTCTCCACCAAAAGCTGCCACGCAGGGTTTAATACCTCCTGTCCCCAAAGCTATAAGACTCAGACCAATCACTGCTAGGACTCTGAAATGAAAAGGTAAACAAACATGTTAACCATGTTAGTAATAAACACAACTGTAGGGAAAGTATATAGAACTGCAGAGGAAAACAATATATATAAGGACAAAGATCCCTTTCACATTTCTACCCTGAAGGCAGTAGAAGACATTCAAGAGTTACTTAAAACAATCTTTCTGACCCTTGAGCTTCTGCTAGAAAATATTCATTACATGGAAAGATTTGGTTTCTCATAGTTTCTCTTTGTGGGAAATAGAAGCAGACGTGGAAGGGATACTAAAACTAAAGCACTGATTCTTAATTTTGTTTAAGTCTAAGGAACACTGCTTAGATTAGAAAGATCTAGTGGTTCTATCCCACATCCATTTACTAAGCATAAAATGACATATTAAAATTCACTAGTTAATAGGAGAAGTGTCACTAATTTTTAATGTGACGTTAATAAGAAGGTATGTAATATTTATTACATATCAAATACAATTATTAACTCACAGTATAAGCACATGCATAAAACCCATTGCCATCAAGTTTGTTCTTACTCATAGTGACCCTCTAGGAAAGAATAGAACTGCCCCCATACTATTTCCAAGGCTGTGATGTTCACGGAAGCAGACTGCCACATCTTTCTCCTTCAGAGTACCTTTCGGCTAGCAACCAGGTGCTTAACCAATGCACCACCAGGACACATGCATAGATACATTATAAATAATGCTATCTGCTTCTTGAATACCTGCAATTTTCTCTATAGACTGGACCAGTAGACATCAGAATCTGTTAAATGTCTCTGAACCCATATATACCAATATCTTAAAAGGGATAAAGTAACTATAATAAACAGAACTACACATAAATGGAAATATTCCAAAATTTAATTATAATTTCTACAATGTATTGCAGAAAAATACTATGAACTTTGTTAAATTTATTAACCCATGTGAAATGCAGAGTGAATAGATGAGGGAATATGGGGGGTAAGAAGCTCATAATTGTTGTCTTTAACGGTATTAAGTGGTTTTATTAAGGGCATCCTAACCAAGCATCCTTGGTTTGCTTGGTTCTGGAGACGTGATGTGGCTCTTTAGGGTAAGCACTGGACTGTTAACCACAAGGTAGGTGGTTCAAACCCACCAGCTGCTCTTTGGAAACTCTGTACAGGGTCACTATGAGTTGGAACTGACTCAATAGCACTTTATAACAACAACCACCACCAAGCATTCTACAAGTTCTCAGTTACTTAATAACAAATAAGCACAGATAAAGTAGGAAAATTTTCAACTGGTCATAAATGTGTTGTGATATTGAGTTATTTGATTATGAAACAGTAGGCTGAAAGATAAAGGAATATGTTTAGAAAGAAAATAAAATATCATCTCTCTTGAATGCCTGATACATTTACCTGAGTAATGGAAGACAAACAGGTCCATTGAGTGCATGATTTTACTCACCTGTGTAGTGTTTGTCCCCCAAAAATTGGTATGGCACCCAAGGACTTTATCACATGGCCAAGCACGTACACCAAGGAGAGATAGATGATTGTCCTGTTAAGAGAGCTAAGTTAGTTAGTTTACATACCAAATTTAGAGACTTAAGTAATACAGAGTCATTCTGAATGATATAGAGCTAATACTATTCTCAGTAATAGGTTAAATGGAGGTGAAGAGGAAGGAATTACCCGAGTAATGCAAATAGAAATGATAACAGCAAGTGAAGTACAGATTTCCCCTGCTATATGAAAGTAGAGCATTCTTATAAAATCTTTCATAAGCCAAATGGCATAAAACTAAGAAGAAACTGCCATTTATATGGTAACAATTTTGGAGTGTTCCCAGACCCAAAAAACAGCCTACCAAATCATGCCAAATAACACAGAAAACCTAAAATAACAGTACCATATAAAAGAAAGAATGATATTATAAATACACAGCTAACACGAAGTAGAAATAATACATATATAGTGTTGTTCTCAGGGAAGCAGCTTGGCAATATCACTCTTGCTGTTTGAGGTGCTCTCTTCGTCTTTAAAAAACCAAACCAATTGTTGTCTAGTAGATTCTGATTCATAGTAATTCTATAGGACACAATAGAACAGTGCCACATGGTTTCAATAGCTGTAAATCTTTGTAGAAGCAAGTTGCCATATTTTTCTCCCTCAGAGTAGGTAGTCCACCAGTTGCCTGTCAGTTTGTTCCACTGTGGTGACTTGCGTGTTGCTGTGATGCCAGAAGCTATGCCACCTGTGTTTTAAATATTAGCAAGGGCATCCTTGGTGAACAAATTCCAGTGGAGTTCACAGTCAAAAACAGACTAGAAAAAAGGAGAGGCTGACCAACTCGAAATGGTTAGTCACTGAAAATAGCAGTGGAGCATTGTCTGATATAGTGTCAGAAGATGAGCCCCTCAGGTTGGAAGGCATTCAAAATATGAATGGGGAAGAGTTGCCTCCTCAAAGTAGAGTTGACCTTAATGACATAAATGGAACAAAGCTTTTAAGACCTTCATTTGCTGATGGGGCACAACTTAACATTAGAAAAACAGTTGCAAACATCCTTTAGTAATCTAAACATGGAACGTATGAAGTGTGAATCTAGGAAAACTGGAAGTTGTCAAAAATGAAACAGAATGCATAAGCATTGATATCCTGGCATTCGTGAGCTGAAATGGATTGGCATTGGCCATTTTGAATCAGACAGTCATGTGGTTTACTGCACAGGGAACGACAAATTGAAGAGGATTGGCATCGTATTCATCATCAAAAGCAGCATTTCTAGATCTGTCTTGAAATACAATGTTGTCTGTGATAGTATAATATCTGTACACCTACAAAGGAAACCAGTTAATACCACTATTATTCAATTTTACATACCAACCACTAAAGCCAGTGATGATGAAATGGAAGAATTCTACCAATTTCTTCAGATTGAAATGGATAGAGCATGCAATCAAGATGCATTTATAATGCACTACAATACAGCTGATTAGAATGCAAAAGATGGATTAAAAAAAGGATCCATAATTGAAAAATATGGCCTTGGTGATAGAAACAATGCTAGAGATCACATGATAGAATTTTGCAAGACCAATGATTTATCATTGCAAATATCTTTTTCAATAACATAAAAGGCAATTATGTTGTTGTTGTTGTTAAGTACCATGGAGTTGGTTCCGACTCATAGTGACCCTGCACAGGATTTCAGAAGCTGTAAATCTTTACTTGAGCAGAATGCCTTATCTTTCTCCTGCGGAACCGCTGGTAGTTTTGAACTGCCGACCTTGAGGTTAGCAGCCTGATTCGTAACCACTATGTTACCAGAGCTCCTTAAAAGGCAACTATACACAACTATATATTGTTGTTACTGTTAAGTGTCGGTTCTGACCCATAGCAACCCTGTATAGGGTTTTCAAGGAGCAGCTGGTGAACTTGAAGCCACCCTTGGGGTTCAAACCAACTTTACAGTCCAGCACATTAACCCACAGCACCACAGCAGGGCTCCAAGAATGTGTATAGAGATCTACATATTGAAACATGGCACACTACAATGTTATCTTCACATATAATAAAATAAAGTTAGTTCTAGGAGGAACCTTGGAAATTGTACAGGCTGTATCTGTGATTTTGAACTGTATAGCATAAAGAATGAAATGAAGGTAGCAGGGAGATGCTGGAGATGCCAGAGATCTCAAGATGTGAATTTCTAATTATAAATGGAAATATTCCAAAATTTAAATATGATTTCTACAATGTATTGCAGAAAACTACTACTAACTTTGTAAATTTATTTAAACCAAATGAAATGCAGAGTAAATAGGTGAGGAAATATGGGAGGTAAGAAGCTCATAATTATTGTTTTCAAGCGAATTAAGAGTTTTTATTATTAAGGGCATCCTAACCAAGCATCCTTGGTTTACTTGGTTCTGGAGTCCTGGTTTGACTCCTCAGGGTAAGCACTGGACTGTTAAACACAAGGTAGGTGGCTCAAACCCACCAGCTGCTCCTTGGAAACCTTATACAGGGTCTCTATAACTCCATGGCACTTAACAACAACAATTTTTTTAGGTTGGCTTTCTAGGGAGTGGACTGTTCCCCCCAAAAAAATCAAATAAACCCCCTGCCGTTGAATTGATTACGGCAGCAGAGGGTGTATAACGGCAGGTGGAGGATAAGAAGTTGCGTGACTAATCCAGAGCTAATTAACATCAGGGGAGATAGGCTTTCCAAGAGACCTTGTAGGGTCTTTTCTTTTGTTGGGGGAAATAGATCAAGAAAGAGGGACTTAAAAAGGGCTGGCTGTCATAAACACAAAGATCATCTCCACGGCACATAACAACAACAACTATTGTAACATAAGGAGCTCTGGTGGAGTAGTGATTACGAATCGGGCTGCGAACCTCAAGGTCTGCAGTTTAAAACTACCAGCTGTTCCGCGGGAGAAAAACGAGGCACTCTGCTCCCGTAAAGATTTACAGCCTCGGAAACTCTGTACAGGGTCACTATGCGTCGGAATCGACTCCACGGCACATAACAACAACAACAACATCCTAGATCATCAGAGAGAAAATGTATAAAGAGCTGGAGAAAATCAGATCAAGATAAGGTTGTTGGAGTGAATGAATGAGAGACGTGTGAGGGACATCAAAAAGTTCATGGAAAAATCTCATTTAATTTTTCCCTAAACTTTTTGAGGAGTTCTGGTGCAGTGCTGTGGGTTAACGCGCTGGATTATAAAATAATTTGAATTGCAAGATCGGAGGTTCAAGCTCACCAGCCGCTCCTTGGAAACCCTATACAAGGTCACCAAGGGTCAGAAGCAACTCAATGCCACTAAACAGCAGCAATATATAAGGGATAGTGGTTCAGAAGGAAAATAGGTAATCTAGAAATTAGACTTTTAGGAATTGGTCTAGGAGGTTGTAATGTATGAACTGTGTCCCTCAAAAATGTGTTGTAAATCCTAACTCCTATACCTGTGGGGAGTCCTAGTGTGGTCCAAGGTTGGTTTGAATCATAAAGTCGACTGTTCAAATTCACCAGTCACTCCTCAGAAACCCTATTCAGGGTTGCTATGAGTTGTAACTGACTTGATGGCATCTAATAACAACAAAATGCCTGTGGATTCCTGGTGTGGCACTACAGGATAATGCGCTGAACCACAAAGTCAGTTCGAGCGTCAAGATTGGCATTTCAAACCCACCAGCCACTCCTTGGAAACACTGTACAGGGTAGCTATGAGTTGGAACAACAGCAAACAAGGAAGTGAATGAGCAGAGATGGGAGAAGAAAGATACCAAGTCATATGATGATGACTCAGAAGAAACAAGAATCTTCTTCCAGAGGAGAGTGAGAAAGCCTTCCCCTAGAGTTGTCATTGTTGTTGTTAAGTGCTGTCAAACTGGTTTGGACTCACAGCAAACCAGTTTCTGAGGAGCAACGGGTGGGTTTGAACCATTGACCTTGTGGTTTGTAGTCCAGTGCTGATCCTACAGCACCACATCCTGAATTCAAATTTCTATTCTCCTAAATTGTGAGAAAATAAATTTGTTTGTTAAAGTCACCATTTGTACTGTCTCTGGTATGGCAGTGTTTGAGAACTAAGACAGATATGATGTCTATAAGAGACAAAGCTAATGGCAGAAACTTAAACCAAAGGAGAAAGGAGTCAGAGGAGACCTGAGAATTCTACATTTGGACTGAAGTCATTGTAATATCAACTACAGGACACAGAACTGTTATTAGCAGAGAGGCCAGTTGATCCCACATTTTATAAATGAGGAAAGTAAAGTCTAGCAAGGTCAAGGGACTCTCCTAAATGCACATTCTAATGAATATTAGTGTTTGGTCAAGAATTTTCTAACTCCTGACCCAGCATGCCTTCAGTTTTTATCATGGACAAACCAATGTAGGCAATAAAATGTGGAAAAGGAAAAGAGAGCAATTGTAAATTTGATTCTACTCTAAGAATATCAAAAGCTAGAGTCAGTTTCAAAAAGAGTATAGGAACTGAGAAAGAGTATCTGCAGAGACTGGGAAGGTGTATGTGTAGTAATGAGCGAGAATGAGATCTAGCATGAATGAGAGAGGGTTGGCTCTGCCCAAACCAAAAAAGATACAAGAGAAAAGGAACATGTTACAGAGCTGCTCAATAAAGGCAAAGAGTGGAGACCAAACCAAACCCATTGCCATTAAGTCCTTCCTGACTCACAGTGACCATTTACAGGCTTGCCAAGACAGTAAATCTTTACAGGAGCAGAAAGCCTCATCTTTCTCCCACGGAATGGCTGGTAGGTTTGAACTGCTGACCTGTGATTGGCAATTCAGTATATATCCTATAGTGTCACCAGTGCCAAAAAAATACCTACAGTACCACCAGAACATCCAAAAGTATATTTGGCAGTGGTGGTAGTATGCCGTGGAAATGGTTCTGACCCATAGTGACCTGGTACATAGAGAGGCTATAAATCTTGATGGGAGCAGAACACCTCTTCTTTCTCCCACAGAACAGCTGGTAGTTTTGAACTGCTGACCTTGAGGTTAGCAGCCACACTTGTAACCACTACGCTACCAGAGCTCCTTTTTATTTGGCAGTAAACCTGTTAAAGAGACTGGTTCTGCCACTGGCAAGGACAAGAGGTGAGGTTGATAGGTGTGAGTCAAAGAGAAATGAAAACATTCACTTATAACTGGTGTGGCTCTGTTAGGATCCACACTGGACTGCTAACTATAAGATCAGTGAATCAAACCCACCAGTAGCTCCTTGGAAACCCTAAACAGAGTCCCAATAAGTCAGAACTGACTCCATAGCACTTAACAATAGCAACATAATCTGAACTGGAGAGGTGAAAAAGACTCTTTAGAAGGAAGAAGAGGCTAGTGTTGGGGTTGTGCCAATAAAAACAAAACAGCAAAAACCTGTCGCCACCAAGTTAATTTTGACTCATAGCAATTCCTTGGGAGAGGAGGACTGCTCCACAGTTTCTAAATGGAATTAAATAATGGGATTTTCCCATGAATTTTTTGAAGCCCCCTCATAGCGACCCTATAGAACAGAATAGAACTGATCTATAGGGTTTCCAATGCTACAATCTTTATGGAATCAACTACCATATCTTTCTCCCACAAAGCAGTTGGTAGGTTCAAACTACCAACCTTTCAGTTAGTGGCCAAGAGCTTAACCACAGTACCACCAGGGCTTCTTAAGCTGTCTATGTTGTTGTTGTGGGTAAGTGCCGTCAAGTCGGTTCTGATTCATAGTGACCCTGTATAGGATTTCCAAGGAGCGGCTGGTGAAATTGAGCTGTCGATCTTGCTGTGCAAACTGACTTTACAGTCCAGTGTGTTAACCCACATTCCTACTGGGATCAGAACATGAATTGTCCTTAACTAAAACACGAAAAATTTAATACATATGAACAAAGATATACCTTCTGATTTAAAGATTGTAGAAACATTGGAAAAACTGATAATGATAAGAAATAGTTTTTTCTGTGTTGTCTTCTTACATGTCTGATTTGTTGTGGATGAGATATGTATGCTTTTGCTTGGAGGCAAGAGGTTAGAAATGAAAACAGTTAATATGTAAAATCCTGGGGCCACCTGTCCTCCTTACTTGAATTTTCCCAACCACGAGTCTGCAATGGCTGCTCCCAGGATGGGAGTGAAATAACAGAGGCTGCTGAAGGCATGGTATATAGATGTGGAGGTGTCTTCATCCCAGTGCAGGAAATATAAGAAATACAGGGTCAGCACAGCTGATGCAAAAAAACAAAAGGAGGAGACAAAACAAGATAGACATATTAAACTGACTGAGGAAGAATATATCTTTCTCTGGTTATTGAAGGTGATCTCGACCTTCAGCACTTCTGTCAGTGATTTGAGTGGGAGGGAAATAGCTGCAGGGTGCTTGGAAGTTATGGCATTGAATGGAGCTGTGCAGAGTGTACAAAAGCAATTCTTCCCTCAGCATACGCACTGTAGGCCAATCTTAAAGATAACAAGGTGTTTCCAACACCCCTTTCTTTTCCTTCCCAACAACATGTTTCAAAGACCTGAGGAGTAGGTATGAAGAATACAACTCTGATGATAAGAGTTCTTCCATTTATATACTACCAGACTGTGTACTGGCTTCTATTAGGTCTTTCTGTTTTGGGTCTGTAGGAATTACAGATGACTTCCAAGAGGTATTTACTGGAAGTCTTGGCCAAAGGAAGGGATCATTTTGGACTAAGGTGGGGAGAATAGATACGAGAAGCAAGCCCCTTCAAGGAATCTGGGCTGTTATATGAGAGAAGGTAAGTGAAGACATGCAGGACTCTGGGACATCAAGATTACCTTTCATGCCATAATAGGAAAAGCGCTCGCAGAATTCATTCACCACAATGAAGGCAATGCTCAATGGATAGTTGGTACCACAGATTTTCTATGAAACAAAAAAGTCAAGGATTCAGATATGTTTTGTTTTCCCTACTTAAGCCACAAGATTGCTCCAAAATAGAAAATTTCATTTTTCCTATCTCAGTGATAGGTAATGTGGGAAACAGCTATTATCACACTAACAGTGGTTGAATCACTGATTTAGGAGTATTAGAAGTTACTATTACTTTGTTCTTCATTCATTTAAAATGCAACTGCTCAGATATTTCTTAGCCCTAAATATAGAACCTACTCTTTCCCCCATACTTAGTAAATGAAAAGTCTGAAGCTCTAGACAGGAGAATGTTGTTAAGTGTTGTCAAGTCAGTTCTGACTCATGGTGACCCTATCTAGAGTTTCTGAGGAGTGGCTGGGTGTGTTTGAACCGCCAACCTTGCTGTTTAAACTGTCCTTGCAGTCCAGTGCTTATCCTAAGGCATATCATGTCTTATCACAAGTCCCTCTATCCCTTGTGAGAGCTCACCTAGTATGAGGGGGAAAGGGGACATCTGCCCTTAGGACAATTAAATCTTATCATGAGATTGATATTCCCTCTGGTTCTTTTCTTAGTGCCTGAAAAGTATGTACATCTTTGTAAGCAGCCTAAAATTCTTTGGGGTCATAAAAGTTATAACTAACGAAATCAATAAAATAAACTAATGTATTGATTTATTTCCTCATTTAAGTATATATAAATAACACCCTAAGTATTCATATATGTGAATGTATGATAACAATTTTCACGAAAAACACAATGAACTTAGATTTTCAATTTCCCAGCTTGAGAAATATGTTACACTGTTACTAGTCTGGTTAACATACTGCCATTGGTCAGTACACTAAATGTGCCTCTATGCTTCAGTTCTGTTATTCCAAACACATTAGAATTATACCACTTCTTGGCCTATAATTGTTGTTCTTGTTGTTAAGTGCCGTCAAGTCGGTTCCGACTCATAGTGACCCTGTATAGGGTTTCCAAAGAGCAGCTGGTGGGTTTGAAGCACCGACCTTGTGGTTCACAGTCCAATGTTGATCCACAATGCTGCACCACAAGTCCACCCATAATAAGAACTTTTAAATCTTGGCTATTATTATGACATCATCTCACTTAGGGATTTTGATATGAAATTTGAATGAGATCATGAATTTGGAAATGTTTTTACAGGTTATTATGCAAAACTATATTATTATTTGGTTATCTGCCTTATTGCTCATTGTAAACTTGGAACACATAGTAACATAGACTGAATCTACTTTAAAACTTCCCTTGATGTCTTGCATAAAGCTTTGCAACAGGGGGAACTGAGGGCTGTTTTTAAATTAGTAAGTGAGAACAATCACACACAGTTTCCAGACAGGCACAATTGCCAAGTTTCCCTGGACATTCAAATTGCTTTTTTTTCCCCCCCTGGGAAACTCAGAATATACAATGAACTACAGAAGAGTCATGGGTTCCAATTGAAGAACTAGAACTACCTCTTTCTCTTTCTCCTAGGTAAAGGAAGCTTTTGTTCAAACTGTTGGGTTTTGTTTTTTGTTTTTCAGAATAATTGTAAATCTAGGTGAGAATATTTCTATATCCCAATTCAACTTAGTCTGGAGCTCCTGAGGCCAATCAGAAGAGCTAAAGGAGCAAGCTATTTCTGTTAGAGGCAGAATTGAATCTGGAACTTACCGGAGGTGACTTCTTTGGAGGGCTTGGTGGTCGAGGTGGTGCCCCTTCAATGGAGACAGGTGTAAAAAGAGTTTCCTTGGACTCATTTTTCTGGAAGGTATTCATGGCTGGCTCCTTTCTCTGTCCTTAGGCATTTGGCTTAGGGAGGCAGTTGGGACAGCTGCCAGTCTTTTGTAAGAAGAACTGGCAGAAGGAGGGGGAGGTGGCCTTAGCTACTAGGATTAACCCTGTAGGTGTTGGCTTCAGTAACTGGCCCAGCACAAAGCCGGAAGTTATGTGAAAAGAAAGGGTTGAGCACTGGAGATGAATTCCAAAGAGTAATTAAGTAAAAGGTAGAAAGCATGGCGAAATCAGAACAAGAACAAGACGGAAGACTGTGTTTGAGAATTGATAAGAAACAGAATGTTTAAGCAAGATTATCTTTACAAATGGGTTGTTGTTGTTGTTAAGTGCCATCCAGTCGATTCCGACCCATAGCGACCCTGTATAGGGTTTCCAAGGAGCAGCTGGTGAGCTTGAACTGCCGACCTTGCAGTTCAAATGGCTTTGCAGTCTGGTGCTTTAACTCACCAGGATTCCATACAAATGGGTGCTAATTAAGAATACAATTCCTAAAGCACAGATTAAAATTTTGATTTCAGGGTAAAAGTTGTTAAGTGTCATGGAATCGGTTCCAACTCATAGTGACCCTGTGTAGAGTTCTGAGGAGCGGCTGGTGAGTTTGAACCACTGACCTTGCAGTTCAAACTGACCTTGTAGTCCAATGCATTATCCCACAGTGCCACACCAGGACTCCTATTATGTGTTGTTGGTGGTTATGTGCCGTGGAGTCGATTCCGACTCATAGCAACCCGTACAGGGTTTCTGAGGCTGTAAATATTTATGGGAACAGAAAGCCTCATCTTTCTCCCATGGAGCAGCTGGTAGTTTTGAACTGCTGACCTTGAGGTTCGCAGCCCGATTTGTAACCACTACACTACCAGAGTTCCTTTATTATGTGTTAGGTTAATAAATATACATACGCGCATACATGTGAGAGGGCTTCAAAAATTTTGTGGAAAAATTCCATCATCTTATAATTCCATTTCCCCCAAAACTTTCTGAAGTTCCTTCATATATCTATGCACATACATATATATCATATATATTAATGCATGTATGTATACATGCACAAATATTTATATCTAATGTCCTGGTGTGAACTGCTACCCACAAAGTAGGCAGTTCAAACCCATGAGTCACTCACTGGAAACCCTATTCAGGGTCGCTATGAGTCAGAACCAACTCGACGACACTTAACAACAACAAAGTGCATTGCATATGTGTAACATACATAATATATATCAATTGCTCATATGCAAATACAGACTGAAGCTGAAGAAATGAAAACAAGTCCACGAAAGCCAAAATATGACCTTGACTATATCTCACTTAAATTTGAAGATCATCTGAAGAACAGTTTTGATACATTAGATACTAAAGACTGAAGGCCAGAATAGTTGTGGGATGAAATCAAGAACATCATACAGGGAGAAAACAAAAAGTCATTAAGAAGACACAAAAGAATGAAAAGATCAAAATGGATGTCAGAAGAGACTCTGAAACTTGCTCTCCAGGGTACAGATGCTAAAGCAAATGGAAGAAGTTAGGAGGTACAAGAGCTGAAGAGAAATTTTCACAAAGGTCAGCTTGAGAAGACAAGATCAAATATTGCAGTGAAATGTGTAAACATCTGGAGTTAGAAAACCAAAAAGGAAGAATACCCTCAGCATTTCTCAAGCTGAGGAAACTGAAGAAAAAATTCAAGCCTCAACTTTTGTTATTGAAAGGTTCTCTGGGCAAATTATTGAATGAAGCCAAATGCATCAAAAGAAGATGGATGGAATACACAGTCACTGTACCAAAAGGACATGGTTTATATTCAACCATTTCAAGATGTAGCATATGATTAAGAGCCAATGATACTGAAGGAAGAAGTCCAAGATTCATGGAAAGAATTGGCAAAGAACAAGGCCCCAGGAATTCATGGAATACAAATTGAAATCTTTCAAGAAAGTGAGGCAGCACTTGACAATTTGTACCACCTAGGAATTCCTCAGCTCCTTACTACTATCTGTATTTTACAGAGACTAAACTTCTGATGTGGCTGTATAGGACCAACACTGGACTTCGAACCACAAGATCAGCATTTCAAACCCACCAGCTGATCCTCAGAAACCCTACATAGGGTCGCTACGAGTCAGAAAAGACTCAATGGCGCTTGACAATAACAATAGCAATAAAGTTCTAAGAAGTCCATTTGTTCAAAGTGACTTGACTATTAAGTCACAGATACGGAATTTTCACTATGTTGAAGCAAAAGTAAAAGAGATTAGTATCATCAATACCTAAGGCCAGGGTTCAGGTATGAAGGAATAAGAGTCTACATTGTTATGTAATGGAAAGATAAGAAAGCTGGGATATGGAGATGCATTCAATTTGGAGATACAGAAAACAGAAAAAAATTCTGTTTTCAAAATATATAGTGCTTTTAGACGAACAAGGCAGCTGGGAGAATGGTTGGGCAGGCTCGCATGGGCTAGGTGGGACAGAGGTATTTGATGACGTATGCACAATCTTGGAATAACAGTGCTTCAGGATACAGGGATTGAGGCATGGCTTGAAAGGGGAAAAAAGGGGAATAATGTTAGGATGCTTGGCTGTCTTTTGAATCTTGGTTTCCCTTGCCTACCATTGTGAAATAGACACGGTGTGTGTGTGTGTGTGTGTGTGTGTGGATAGCCAGAAACATCACAACAGAAAACACGTAAGTAAGCCCGTCTTCAGTCTATAACTGACTGAAATACCTTGGGGAAGGGGGTTGGAAACTGCTCAGACCCAAAATGGGTGGGGGATGGGGGTGGGGGACAATAAAGGCAGGAAATGACTGGCTTGCAAGCTTTCAAGAGGGAGCCTAGTTCCAGACGGGGCAAGGATAGGCAGAACCTCCACTGAATGATTTTCAAACTGTTGGGACCGAGCTGACAAAAGGAAATGGGGATAAGACTCTGTGGTACAGCTGTGAATAACTGCCACCAGGACTGACTGTGAGGGTTGGAAATGTACAGGCAGATTTTTTTTTTTTTTTAAAAAGGAGGTGATTGATTGATTTTGCAACCCAGGAGCGGAGGTCCCTGGGACCATCAAGTGAGAAAAGCAGAAAGTGTGACCCTACCCAGAGAAGCAGTAAGGCCAGGCATGGAGACAGAGATGATGATATGGACAGATGGAGTGGCTGGGGACATGGAACTCAAGGAGGGAAAGGAGTTATTTGCTGACAGCCAGGGGGAGTGGGCCTGTGGGGTGTATCCTTTGGTTATTTGATGATGCATGGAGGGAATTGTAATCATTGCAATGAAATACGGTAGGATGAATGTGAAGCTGAAGTAGGACAGAGGTAAATAATGATGTATGCACACCCTTGGAACAACAGGGCTCTGGGATACAGAGATTGAGACATGGTTGGAATGGGGAAAAGGGGAGAAATAATGTTAAGATGCTTGGCTGTCTTTTGAATCTTGGTTTTCCTGGCATATCGCTATAAAATAGACACTGGAGGAGGAGAGAAAGGAATAGCCAGAAATACCACCATAGAAAGCTTGTAAGTCTGTCTTCTGCCTATAACTGATTGGAATACCTAAAATGGGGCTACAATGTACCTAATGAAGGAGGCTTCCTGCGGTGCCTCTGCATTACACAAGACCATAGGTGGAATACTGAACAGAATCCAGAATCTTCTGAAGGGAAACTTCCACTTGAAAGGACAAGCAGACCAGCCTGGAGCAGCCAGAACAGAAGATACTTCTTGAAAGAAAGATTGACAGGAAAAATACAAAACAATATAGGCAGACCAACTGATTACTACAAGAACAAACAAGTGGCTCACCCAGGAGACATCAAGGCAAGTGGTCGGATCCCCCTCAGAAAAAAAAACCCTTCTAAGACTAAGACTCAGTGGGAATACAAGCTCTGATTGGTGACCACATTCATCACCGATAAAGGGAAGTGTGACAAAAGCAGCAATGAAGCTGTGAGCTGAGCCCTAAAACACTCAATAGACTCCTGTGAACCCAGATGGAGACCTGGTTGACCAGTAGTGTGGCAAGTACAGGGGATTCTTGGAACAAAGTCAGTGACATAGCCACAGAGGACTAGAGTGGAGAGTGAAGCATCCAGCTGATAAGAAGAGAGGGCACATGCAGGGTACACCCACACTTGCAGATAATACCCACTTGACCTGGCTTCAATGACTGGATGATCAGATCTCAACCAGAAGAAGAAAGAAGAGGGAAAAAAGAATAATCTGATACAATTTGATGAACTTGACATATACCTATGGAAGCAGTAGCTCAAAAGAGGGAACAAATCTTCACAGCGAGGATCATTCCCACCACCTCCGCACACAGAGTAGACAGGAATGGGCAACTTGGACACTGGCTACCCAGATTGGGGGGTGGCTTCAGAGGCAAGAAGTGACTGGCTTACAAGCTTTCAAGAGGAAGCCTAGATCCAGAGGGTGTGGAACAAGGTAGAATTTCCACTGTGTAGTATCCATTCTGTCTAGTCGGGGCAGATGAAAGGAGATGCGGATAGGTCTCTTGCGATAGAATAGCAAATAATTGTTATCAGGACTGATTGTAAGGGTTGGAAATGTAAAGGTAAATGTTTTGTGGCAAAGTGAGGAGAGTGATTGACTTTGCAGTCTAGGAGCGGAGGTCCCTGGGACCATCAAGGGAAAAGCGGAGAATGGAACCCTACCCAGAAAAGCAGTGATGCCAGGGATGGAGGCAGAAATGATGACGTGGGGATATGGAGTGGCTGGGGACTTTGGACCTGGAGAGGAAGAGGGGCTGTGTGCGGACCACCGGGGGCAGGCTTGCAGGGTACACCCTTTGGTTGGTGGATGATGCATGGAGAGGATTGTAACCATGGCAAGGAAATGATATACAATGGGATCAATGTGAAACTAATGTCCTCCCATGTAAACTATCACATAATTCACAATAAAGCATTTAAAAATATATATATATACATGTATATATACATAGTACTTTTAATGCAAATAACATGCCTGTTCAAAGTTTGTTTGCCTATTGC